GAAAAATGCCAGTTCGACAAAACCAAAACTTTCCATGGAAATATTTTGGTTTTTGACAAAACTTTCATTAGAAAGGTTTCTGAGGTCCAGGGTGGAACTTCTGGTCAAAACCTGAATGAGAAAGAGAGGTCTTAATTTTGTTCCGATGAGAAACAAAAGAAAATTCTGAAACCTCGACATTTTTCATGAATCAGAATTCTTGTTTTCTGGCCCACCCTAGAGTTGAGTACATTGTTTGTAGAGATTGCTAAAGCTTTCCTAAAGGGAGTAAGGTGCCACCCTCCCGCAAACAAGCCCCTAGTGAAGAAACTCTTTCAGTGCTAATTTTGCAGAGAATTATTGCCCAGCCTTAGCCTCTCTTTTTTGGTGAAGATTATTGAGAAGGTTGTGCTGAGGCAACTTTGAAGCCATCTGGAGTCTTCAGATTTCCCAGTTCCTTTCAGACGGACATTCTGTCTGGGTATGGCACTGAGATAGCATTCATCTCGTTGGAGAGAGGTCTCTTCTTAGTGATGGACAAAGGCCTTGTCCATGCCGAATTGGCTGTCTCTGTCACCAGCCTTTGATACAGTAGCACATGAAATTTTGTTGACTCACCAGTGGCGCCTATCTGGGGAAAAGGATATAATCCTGAGGTGATTCCGTTATTTCCTCTTCCATGTATCCCCTAGAGAGGCTTAGGGTAATTGCTCCTCTGCCACAACAGATCTCATATGGAGATCCCAAAAGAATTTATTTGATCTCCTCTTCTGCACAACATTCGTGTGAAACCACTAATGAAGACAGCAAATCAGCTTACATTGAGGCAGCATGAGTATGTAGATGCAGTTCTAGGTCTCATTTCCATCAGAGCCAGATAGTGCAATGGCTCTGTTTTCCCAGTTTTTGGCTGAGACTGGGGTTTTGGATGTGAGTATGCTGGCTTCAGCTTAGTTCAAACAAGACAGAGGGAATGTTAATGCATCAGGGTAAAGTGGAAGAATGGAGGATCCCTACTTGGAATTACGCTTGACATTACGGCTGCTTCTGTGGCCAAAAGCACCTATTTTTATCCGCATCTGGTTAGGCAGCTCTGCAGCTTGCCATGGTGAAACATGCTTGTAATAATCCAATCCACAAGCCACAAAGTATCCTCTAAGTGGGGCTGTACATGGAGACTATCTGGTGGCTACAGCCAGTACAGAATGAGGCTCCTTACCTTATTTGTTGTATTAGCCATGGCAAACATATGAGCACTTTTCTCCATGAACTGCACTGGTTACCTATTTGCTTCCAAGTTCAATTCAAGATGTGGACTTTGATCATAGTCTGAGTCATGGTTATTTGAGGCACTACCTCTCTCCACAACACCCAATGGGAGGTGCTGAGCTAGCACACCCTAGATTTGATTGTCTGGGGGCTAGTGTTGAATATTCTCAACAGAGGGTCTTTTATTCTGGAATTCACAGCTGTGTGAGTCACATGAGGATTTTGGGGGTAGTGAGGTATGGTCTATTTATTTGGGGGAAATGTTTTCTTCCTGTTGTTTCTATGGCATGTGTAACTGAGCATATTTTAGAGTGATGATATATTTTATTTTGTTATACTTGTAACTCTTTCTATCTTCATTCCTTATACCTGAACTCACTTAATCCTATGTATATTTTGTTCATAAATTTGTTTTATTTTTACTATTTACCAGCTCAGTGCTGTGTCTGAAGGGAAGGGTGTATTTACCCCAGTTAAGTTAATAAGCTGTAATGTGCTTTTGTCTACTTAAAGGAGCAACAAACCTTATTATAACTCTGAGTGGCCCTGGTAAGGGCTGGACACTCAGGGCACACAGTAGTAGGGAAATTTGGAACTGGGAGTGTGCTGGGGTCGCCTTGCTGGTTGTAACCAAGACTGGCGGAAGCCAGAGTGGGGCTGCAGACAGGCCGCTGGGGCAGAGCTGCTGAACCAGGGCTGTCTAGCACCCAGACACTCAAGGTGTGACAGGCATGCCTGCAAGCTGGCTATGAGCATCCCGTGATATAATGATGATCCATTGCATCCTAATGGGCATGACACAGCTACAACACTACAAACTACTTAGAAATCTAAATAAAAACAATAATAATAATTATTAATAGCCAGAATATGGAGTCGGCATTTTAGTTTGATTTTGCTTCTGTTCCTGCATTCCAAACCGCAGCAGCAACAAATTTACTCTGATTTTAAAGTTGAACCATTATTCCAAGAAATAAATCAAGAACATCTACAATTTTCTTCCATCAATCAAGCTTTATGCCAAACTATTTTTATACCAAGACAGTGAGGTTCTTTGAAGTACAGACATAAACCTGCTGAAGAGAAACGTTCATCTGAAAGCAGAAGGTGTTTGAATCTGAGATTACTTGTCTATTTTAATGGGTAGGTAATTAAACAGAGACATGCAAACCCCTAATGAAAAAGAGCTCTTCTTTGCTGGCTTGGATGGTACTCCATCAGGGCATCTGCTCTATATACTTAGGTTATGTCTACATTGCCTTGCAGTTCGGACTATGGGTGTGTATGGGGGGTGGTGTGAATAGCAGTGCACACTCCCCCACTGTAACACTGCCATGTAGACTCTAAAGGTGTGAACAAAAAAAATAGTTCCTAGTTAGCATTAATTAAATACCGTTTGTGGGGTAGTGTAGACAAGCACTTAAGGTCTTTGAGAAAGGAGGAGATTTGGATTAGTAAATCTAGTAACCAGTCTGCAGAGGTGGCACAATTAGTCTAGCCTCTGGGAAATATTTTGCACTGACGTCATCTCCAAAAAGAAACAAAAATGACACAGTATCTTCTTCCAGTAATAACAAAGCGAAGGGCTGAGGCTAGTGCAGGGACTAATCTCCCACCTCTGGAGACCTGGAGTTAGGTTACAAAGGAAATAATATAACTTTGCATTTCTATAATCCCTTCTATCTATGAATCTTAAAGGAATGAAGCCTCACAGCACAGTCAGGTGAGTAAATATTATGACAGGACACAGGATGGAAACCCCAAATCCTGAGTCTTAATATAATTAATAAATCTTGATATATCTTGATTTTAGTAAGGCTTTTGACATAGTCCCACATGGCATTCTCATAAGCAAACTAGGGAAATGTGGTCTAGATGAAATTACTATAAGGTGGGTGCACAATGGTTGAAAGACAGCACTCAAAGAGTAGTTATCAATGGTTCGCTGTCAAACTGGGAGAGCATATCTAGTGGGGTCCCTCATGGTCAGTCCTGGGTCCAGTTCTATTCAATATTTTCATTAATGACTTGGATAATGGAGTGGAGAGTACGCTTATAAAATACACAGATGACACAAAGCTGGGAGGGGTTGCAAGCACTTTAGAGGACAGGGTTGTAATTCAAAATGACCCTGATAAATTGGAGAATTGGTCTGAATTCAACAAGACGAAATTCCGTAAAGACAAGTGAAAAGTATTTCATTTAGGAAGGAAAAATCAAATGAATAACTTCAAAATGAGGAATAACTAGCTAAGCAGTAAAGGATCTGGAGGTTATAGTGGATCACAAATTGAACATGAGTCTATGATGTGATTCAGCTGAGAAAAAGGCTAATATCACTCTGGGGTGCATTAACAGGAATGTTGCATGTAAGACATGGGAGGTAATTGTCCCAGTCTACTTCACACTGGTGAGGCCTCAACTGGAGTACTGTGTCCAGCTCTAGGCACCACACCTTAGTAAAGATGTGGACAAACACGTCAGTGATGGTGGTTTACTTGGTCCTGCCACAGTGCAGCGGGCTGAACTTAATGACTTCTTGAGGTCCCTTCCAGCCCTACATTTCTGTAATTCTATGATTCTCCTTTGACCTCAAGACCATCCTTCCTTTTGATGAGAAAGAAATGAATTTGCTACGAGAGGTGGTGACTGCTCAAGAGACGGTAGGTTTGTCTACACAGCAATCAGAGGTGTGCCGGCAGCACATGTAGACAAACCTGAGCTCGCTGTGAGCTAGCTAACTCAAATAACAATAGCAGCGAAGCCATAGCAACATGGGCTGCTCACGTCTGCCAAGGACCACGGGTATGTACTCAAGCAGCTAGCCAATGTTGCTGCAGCTTTACTGCTGCTGTAATTCAAGTTAGGGTGACCAGATGTCCCGATTTTATAGGCACAGTCCCGATTTTGGGGGCTTTTTCTTATCTAGGCTCCTATTACCTCCCACCCCCGTCCCGATTTTTCACACTTGCTGTCTGGTCACCCTAAGCTAGCCAGATCAAAACTAGCTTGGGTATGTCTACAAGTGCTGCAGTCAGTCACAACGGATTGTGATGCAGGCATACCCTAGGATTGCAGCGGTGCTGTTGGTCAGCACTGAGGTGGATTGTCAGCAATGTTTTGGGAAACTGCACAGTTCCTGGTCGTGCTTAACTCAAGCCAGTGAGCACTGACCTTCTCTCGCTTTGATTAGGGCTAAAATGTCACTAGCATCACCAACACTCACTTCTCCACTGCAAAGAAAAACAAAACAGGTCTTTCTGGGGCAAGAGGAGAATGATGGCCTTTAAATTTTCAACCCGCGTCCCTCATTATTCTGCAGCAGAGACTTTACCCTAAACTACCATCTTGGAAAAATAAAACCCAGTGGTAAACTTAGGGTCTATAATGAATGGGTAGCAGCAATTCATACCAGCAGCATCTCTTCTTTATATACTTAAAACTAATCAGCTCAGCAAATGAAACTAGGTTGCAGACAACTCCCTGAGAGAACTTAAAGTACACAATCAACTTTATCATAGGAAAATGATTGACTGGAAAAAAGGTGGTCTGCCCTGCCCTTCCACCTCCAAATCACACTGTATCATTTAAATGTTTTTAAATGCATTTACTACAACATGTAATACGTTATCCTTGGGGTTAAACGTGTTCCTCTTGTAAAATCCTCTAAGCGGTGGTCGTGGGACTCAGTTACTCTTAGAAAGCTTGAAGGAGCTGAAAGCCTACGATAATTCATGTGTTTGAAGCTCAGCGTTTGTTGGTTACTGGCGCAGACTTCTGCAAAAGGTTAAATGTGGTCAGCAAATGAACCAAAAACAAAAAAGAACTGGTCCCAGCTGCAGCCTGCCCAAAATTCTTGCAGCAGCCTCATGGTCCAGTTCGTAATGCCACCCAGTGGACACAATGTTCACATGAGCTTTTCTCCTTCATGAATACTGAAGATTTAACAGCAAGGACTTGATAGGGAGAAAAGAATATGATTTCTGAGTATGAACCTATCCTTAAGAAAGTATCAGAGGGGTAGCCGGACTCTTTGTTGCTTTTTATCCTTAAGAAAGCAGCTGAAGAACAGCGTTCCATGTCTTGTGAGACACACAGCTCCATAAAGTATTTACAAGGGATAGAGATACAACATTAAGGAGTCTAATTCACCAATTGATATATAGCAATTGCCACTAAAAATCCACCACTCACCAACGCTTACCACATAATCATGTCTGGATTGTCACTGTTTTTCCGTTTGATTAGGATAGGAAATAACTGTGGAATCTGTTGGCAGATGTTGGCTTTTTAATGGTGGCCACTGTGTGAGGATTGTATTCATACTGCATATGTGTAACTTCTACATAAAGGGAAGAGACCAGAGAAACCTTCTTATGCATCAATGGATCCATAAGGCCCCTAAAAAGTTCATTATCTTTCAAAGTGAATTTTTGGACTGAAATGTGACTCCACTTATACCTGGCTGTTTTACTTAACAGATTAAGTTTTGTTCCCCGGAGGATATTACCACTAAACTGCACACCGTTGGTTTAAGAGCTTGTATCATCCTCTGTGTAGCAGAGGAGTGCCCTGCATTCCTTCAGTGATATCATTTTGGCAGCCCCTTACCTCTGGGGTGAGGTATTTCATCATGATTTCCTTTCCTTTCTCTCCCAGTTTTTCATCTGGAGCAATTTCATACTCTGCCTGGAAAAGAAATAAAGAAACCATCAATATTTGTACTCACACGTCATCATTATAACTTCATTTTGGAGATGGCCTTAACTGAACATTCCACTTGAATAATTTGGAAGGCAAATATAATCTTCTGATGGAGGTAAACCTGTATAGTTGATCTAATTGAAAAGCAAAACACTGGCGTCAAGATGTTTTGACCAAGACCAAGAAAACGGTTCTCTGAAACCAGCCCTCTTTGACTAGGCCACATATGAGTAAATTTCATTCATTTATACTTGATAGATATGCCAAGCCCAAATGTTTCTGATAATTAAGAACCCCTCTCACTGAGCATTATTTGTTTTCACTCACTTAGACGTAGGGAGTAGAAATTAATTTTTCCAAATGATAAAGGAGGATTTTTGTTTTGTTAATCTCTATGACAGAAAAATCTACTTTATTTAGGCATAAGGAGAGCTCTCTCAGGAGGTAGGGCTTTTGGAAGGTTGGGTCCTCCTGTGGATTTTAATTTTTTCTCTCGGTATAACACTCATTTCTCAAGCTCTTCCCCCTCTGCAGAAATTTTGCCAATCACCTTTAGTGCTTTTTGATGGACTTTTGAAACTGGAGATCTCAAAAACCTGGGATATTTCAGGGCTTAGAAAAATAAAAGGGACCAAACAAAGAGCGATGTTCAGTACATACTGGAATCTTGTTTGATTTCTATTGTGCATTACAAAAGAGAGCACACACATTGCATTTTTAAATATTATTCTAAGGATTCTGCATATTGTACCAGCACTGATCTGTGGTAAATTTTAGGATTAACTTTATATAGGAAACAAAATATTGCTTAGGCATCACTGAGACATTAATCATTTTACTTAAAATTCTTCAGCAATGCAAGTCATTAAAAGACAAGGGAAAAAAACCCATTTAAAGCTTGCAACCCCAAGTGAGACAATAACTAAATGATAATGACAAATTCTTAGAGACATTCTAATTTGTCATTGCCTGGAGTACAAGATTTCAGTCTTATGATCAAAAGGGCCTTCTGGGAAAAAAAAGTCAGTTCAACGTGTTTTTATGAATGCTCATATTAGAAAAAGCATCCCAGACCCTCTTGCCAAACCAATTAAGTAAGTTGGTCCAATACAAGCTGTCTGAGATGATAAATGAGGAGGAAGTAAAAGACAACATACGGTAGATCAGTCTGAACTGGCACTTGGAAGAATGCACTTCAGAACTGTTGCACACTTTAGGACATATACATTGTTCTCAGTTTGATACAATAAATCAGAAGGAAGGCTGTAATAAATAAATACTCTAGCTAACCAGACCAAGGAATAACATGAAAACCACAAAAGTAATAATAATGCTATTAACCATGTATCCAGCCAATGCTGATTTAGCCATTGTAGCTTAAGCTTAAGGCTTTATACAGCAGGTTGTTCAAACAATCAGATTTAGTTTGGTAAATGACAATGACCACAAATAAAAGAAAACAGTACTGCTGATGAGAAATACACTGATGAATAAAATCCACAAGTACAATACTTCCTTCTTAGTAACCATGTCAGGGATGAACCGATTATGTTCTCATAAAACTTAATACAAGGGGCTTTTTTTGGAATCTTTCATTCAATTTCCTGTCCATTTAGATGGTATCTGACTATAGGTCATTTCAGCTCTTGAAAGCATGAACACTCCAGAGTGTTTATAGAATCTTAACAGCATTTTTTCTCCCAGAATCTCTGCTAAAGGATAAAACAAACAACCAAAAAAAAAATAGCAAATTAAAGAAGGTCAGAGAAGTTGCATTTTATCTATGCATTTATGATAACTTCAAAGACAGGCTAGGGGATTTTTAATTTAAAGTAAAGATTTAAATACAAAATGTCTTTTAAGAAGAGAAAATATTTGTATTTAAATTTAACTCTCTGTGCAGAAGACTGTCAAACACAAAAGCCAGAATTTATTGGTAATGTCCCAATGGAGAAGGATTTGGGAGCATAACTAAGCCCTCAATTCAGCACAACTCATAAATCATCTAAGAATTATCATTCATTGTTCCCTCAGCAGCTTTGAGATGCTAAATATTTTGCCATATAAGAGGTTTAGCAAACAGATCCTTTAAGCGATTTTAGTGGTACTGCATTCATATCAAATGTTGGTCATATAGTTTGAATTAATATGGCATTTGCTTCAATAAAACAGATCAGGAATTCAGGTGGTATTCTCAATGTATGTATCATATATTGTGATTGACTGGCAAGTACCACTGCTCTCTATTGGATGTAATTAGACTTGGGTACATGTGTGATTGTCTTGCTTTGTGGCTTAAACAGTGTAAACAGAGATTTTAGTTCATTTCAAGTGGAAGAAGCCTGAGTTTCTGAAATAGATTACAAATTTGGATCTCTATGCCATATATATTCAATTTATTTTAAGATGTTAGTGTCTGTCCATAGCTATGGACTGGTGCCAGAGTGTTTCATGGGATTCCTGTCAATCCTAGATGCCTAAAGATAAGCTTTGCATTGACTAAACTTTGGTAGTGACTGTAGTAAAAGGAATTATGTCACGTATCTGTTGGGAGTGGATGTAAATCACTGCCCTCCTCAAGACAAAAGCAAACCTCCTCAAACAGCTGTGATTAACTCTCCGCATAGTGCGATTATTGCAATTTATTAGATCTAGCAATGAAGACTCCCCCCCTCCTCCCTCGAGAAAGCTACGTCTGGTACAAAACACAGCAACTTGTCTGCTTAACAATTTGGGATGCTGTGAACATGTCACCTCAGTGCTTTACTCTCTTAACTGGCTCCTGACTAACTAGAGTCTAGTTCAAAGTCTCTGTTCAGATATTCAAAGTCCACCAGGGAATTGTCTCTAGCTGCCATGAGAACGACTCTCCCTTTGCAACCATGACATCCCATTATAGTTACCACAACAATGAAACTGTTGGCCAGTAGGCAAAGCAGAGAGGAAGACAGAACTTTAACAGGAGCAGGACATATGCTATGGAACTCCCTCCCGCAAGAGATAGGAATGACCATGGACCTCACTACATACGGAACGAAATACAAAACTCATTTCTTTGACTAGCTTTCCTGCAGCAAATTTCACACACACACTCTCGACACTAAGCCTATTTCTCCTACAGCTGGGAACAACTAAAAGAGATTTTCATAGTTATTTCTATTTTAAGTTCTCAGTAGGTTCTCAGAGACTAAGGGGACAGACAGACAGACAGATATGAGAGTGAAGATCTGAAATGGGCCGATAAACCCTAACACTGGTGAGTATTAAAGATTCTCCTTTAGCTCAAACGTTCGAATCTGGGTCACTTGCGTGCTATTCAGCTCTCCAGGGACACCTGTGCATATTCTGCCATAGATTGTTATAATTTTTCCTATTGTACCAGGGGTCGGCAACCTTTCAGAAGTGGTGTGCCGAGTCTTCATTTATTCACTCTGATTTAAGGTTTCGCGTGCCAGTAATACATTTTAACGTTTTTAGAAGGTCTCTTTCTAAACGTCTATAATATATAACTAAACTATTGTTGTATGTAAAGTAAATAAGGTTTTAAAAATGTTTAAGAAGCTTCATTTAAAATTAAATTAAAATGCAGAGCCACCCGGACCAGTGGCCAGGACCCGGGCAGGGTGAGTGCCACTGAAAACCAGCTCGCGTGCCACCTTTGGCACGCGTGCCATAGGTTGCCTACCCCTGAATTATACAAATACAGACAGATTAAGTGAATAGCCCAAGGCCACTGAAAGTTTGTTCTGGAGCCCGGACGAGTACTCAGGTCTCCTGACTCACAATCTTGTGCTTTAACCACAAGACCCCCTCCCCTTCTTCCTCAGCACTAGAAAGACTGGTTACAGTCTACAAGTACATAATTAATAGGAATAGCATTATTAGTTACAATTGCAATGTGGTGCATACTCAAAGTTCCCTAGGGTGCTTTAACATTCATTAAAGTCCACTAGGGAACTTTTAGTGCACCCAGCAGGGTGAGAATGGGCCAATTAGTGCACAACACGTTAGTGCGCTTTAGAAACCACACCTCCGTAGCACACCATGGAGACACGCCCTGTATCTTAATGTACTGTATGAGCAATCTTAATTCTGGCATTTCCTCAGTTGAGTGCTTGCATTTGCAACCTTAATAATATTCTTTTAAACTTAGGTTTTTTATTGTGAGCAATTTCCTAGCTTGAAAAAAGACACCAAAACTTAAATGTCATGTGGAGCCATATAGATCCCCCACCTGGGTCATCAGCAGAGTTGGAATCTAGTAACTAGCAGCAGTAAAAGACTGTTATCTTCCAGGTGGACATACCCCTACCCCCAGCACCTGCTCCTAACCCCTCTCCCGAAAGTTTTCTACCCTCCTCATCGTCTGCCATGTATCTTTCCCTCTCCCCCATCTGTTCCTTGCCTCTCTGCATTCAGGTCAGGCCGCTTCCGCCTTCTCCTCCATGCCACCTGGACAGCAGCTGGGGGAACATTGAGAGAAACAGTTTCCCTGCCCTCAGTTTTCATACCTGGCACCACAACAGCCCACAGCAAACTGGAGGAGCAACTGCCGCGAAAGTCCTGCTCAACCTCTGCAGTTCAAGAATGGAGCATGCTCAGGCCTCTGTTGGGATGGCCCAAGAGCCGTGTGGTCAGCACACAGGCACTGGGAGGGGATGGAGCATGCTGGGAGCTGCCTGCAGGAGACTGCAAGCCTGGAGCAGGCTTGCTAAATGAGCTAACCAGAGATGCCTGGTGCTGAGAGGCAACCAGAAGCAGCTAGTTCCTTATAAAAGAGAGCCGACGCCATTGTTTGAGGAAGTTGACCCTGGGAAGTCTACAGGGGAGTCAGATCTGAGCAGGACAGCTGCAAGCCAAACCCCCAGGTGGGTCACCCCTTGAGAACTCACAAAAAAGAAAAAGGACTAGATGAAGGAGCCTTTTCACTCACCCAGGCTCTGAGGTAAGAGCCACGCCTTGGACAGATTATTTGCGGGACTCTG